GAAAAGCCCTATTAGATGCCTGCTGTGTGCTGGACCAAGGGGAACGGCAGTAAGAGCCCATTATGAGGCACCTACTATGTGCCGGGCACTGTGAGTAGCGGCAACAGCCCCACTAGGCACCTACTATGTGCCAGGCCTTGCCAAGGAGAACAGAAGAGCCTACTTGTTAGGCCCCTACTATGTGCCAGGCACCATGAGTAGCAGCAAAAGCCCCCTTAGGCACCTACTATGTGCCGGGCCTTGCCAAGGAGAATGGTAATGAGTTCATTATTAGGCACCTACTATGTGCCAGGTACTATGAGTAGCAATAAAAGCCCTATTAGACACTATGTGCCAGGCCTTGCCAAGGAGAAGGCAGTAAGAGCCCACTTGTTAGGCACCTACTATGTGCTGGGCTCTGTGAGTAGCAGCAAAAGCCATTAGACACCTACTATGTGCCTGGCCTTGCAAAGGAGAATGGCAACAGCCCATTAGACACCTACTATGTGCCAGGCACCATGCGTAGCAGTCAAAGCCCTATTAGATACCTACTCTATGCCGGACAATATGAGTAGCAGCAAAAGCTCTATTAGGCACCTACTATGTGCCAAGCCTTGCCAAGGAGAATGACAACAGAAGCCCATTATTAGGCACCTACTATGTGCCAGGCACCATGAGTAGCAGTAGAAGCCTATTAGGCACCTACTATGTGCCATGCACTTGACAAGAACGACAACAGAAGCCCATTTATTAGGCACCTACTATGTGCCAGGCCTTGCCAAGGAGAACAGCAATAAGAGCCCATTCATTTGGCACCTACTATGTACCAGGCTTCATGAGTATCAATAAAAACCCTACTAGGCACCTACTATGTGCCAGGCACTTGCCAAGGAGAACAGCAACAGAAGCCCATCATTAGGCACCTGCTGTGTGCCAGCACCATGAGTAGCAATAAAAGCCCTATATATTAGGCACCTACTATGTGCCAAACACTATAATGGAGGAGTATCAATAGGAGTCCATTTATTAGGCACCTACTGTGTGCCAGGCATTGTGCCAAGGAGAATGGCAATAGAAGGCCATTATTAGGCACCTGCTGTGTGCCAGGAAACATGAATAGCAATAAAAGCCTATTCTATTAGGCACCTACTATGTGCCAAGCACTACGATGGAGAGGTACCAACAGAAGCCCATTTATTAGGTACCTACTGTGTGCCAGGCACCATGCCAAGGAGAACAGCAACAGAAGCCCATTAAGCATCTATTTTGTGCCATGCACTTGCCAAGGGCTTTGTAGAATAGTAAAAGCGTCTATTTTTTGAGCACCTACTATGTGCCAGGCTCCATGCTGAGAGTAATAGTAATAGAAGCCTCATTTATTAGGCACCTACTATGTGCCAGATGCTTGCCAAAGGCTTCACAGAATAACAGTGGCAACAGCATCTATTTGTTGAACACCTACTATGTGCCAGGCACTGTGCAAACGAGACGAGAACCCCAATTATTGAGTGCCTACTGTGTGCCAGTCACTGTGTCAAGGAGAATGACAAGAGGTCCATTTATTAGGTACCTACTATGTGCCAGGCACTTGCCAAAGGCTTCACAGGATTAATGATAATCTATTGAACACCTACTGTGTGCAGGCACTGTGCCAAGGGGAAGAGCAATAGATGCCGTGTTTATTAGGCACCGACTATGTGCCAGGTACTAGGCCAAGGGCTTCATACAGTAATAGTTAATGCACTCGTTTGCTGGACACCTACTATGTGCCAAGACCTTCATACTATTTCATAATAAAACATGGCTAATTTTTTTAAAGGCAAAGGCATCTGTTCACTGAACGCCTGCGCTACCAGGGATCCGACAGTTTACTTCAACCAGGACCATCCCCGTGGCTTCCCTTGAAGAGAAGATAAGGCCCATGTCTTGAGCACCTACTGTGAGCCAGTCAACGTGCCAAGGGCTTTGCTGAGTAACAATTAAAGTGCCTGCTTATCAGACGCCTCCTGGAGTCAGGTATCAGGCTCAGGATTACACAGCCCATATCGAGCACCTACTGGGTACCTATCACAGTTCTGTTTTTAGTCCCTACTATGCACCTGACACCATGCTAAGCCCATAACGGGTTAACAGCAAGTCTCATTTATGGAGCACCTACTATGAACTGGGCGTGGTAATAACCCCTAAAGATAAAAGTGGCAGTTACTGTTTATGCAGCACCTACTGTGTGCTAGCACAGCGCCAATGGCTTTATCAGAAAACAAAAATAGCCCCCACATATTAAGCACCTACTATTAGCCAGGCACTGTGCCAGGGGCTTGTTGAAAAACAGTTCCCCCCTATTTAAGCACCTACTATGTGCCAAGCACAGTACTAAGAGCCTCGTAGAATGTGAAGAGCTCTCACTCCTTCGTGTTCTACTGTGTGCCAAGCACTGGGCGAAGGGCTTTATTGAATAACAGTAACGGCCTCTGATGGACTTTTTCTTTCAGGGTCTCACGCTGCTGTCCAGGCTGGAGTGCAATGGCATAGTCATGACCCACTGCAGCCTCAACTTCCTGGGCTCAGGTGATCCTCCCGCTTCAGCCTCCCAAGGAGCTGGGGTGAAAGGTGCACCCACCAGGTCTGGCTGAGTTTTAAATTTTTTTGTAGAGACAAGGTCTCGTTTTGTTGCCCAGGGTGGTCTCGAACTCCCGGCCTCAAGTGCTCCTCCTGCCTCGGCCTCCCAAAGTGCTGGGAATACAGGCGTGAAAGAAAGACCACGCCTGGAGGGCTCCCTATATACGAAGCACCTGCTGTGTGCCACGCACCGTGCTCAAGAACTGATATAAAAATGGTAACAGTGCTTGCTTCTTGCACACAGTATGCCAAGGGCTTTGCAGGTGATAACTGCATGTTCTGAGCAGAGTGTGCACCCAGCACTGTGTAGACCCTTCCGGATGGCGGTAGTGTCCTTCTGAGCAGCTACTACGTGCCTAGTACTGGGCCACCCTCTTTATACCAAGTGCCACTTAGTGAGCACTTACTGTATGCCAGGCATTGTGCCGTGACGTCTGCAGAACAATAATCACAGCCCCATCCATGTTCCGGGCACCTACTGTGTGCCAGGGTGAGCTTGTTAGAAACTGCTAACAGCTTCCGTTCACTGAATACCAGTGATGCCGCCAGCACCATGCCAACCCATACTTTGGTGGATTGTTTTGGAGTCTACTGTCACCCAGGCTGGAGTCGTGACACGATCACGGTTTACTGCAGCCTCCACCTCTTGGGCTTGGGTGACTCTCACATCTCAGCCTCCCGAGTAGCTGGGATTACAGGTGCACACCACCATGCCTGGCGCTTTAAAAAATTTTTTTTGTAGAGACAGAGGTCTCACTGTTTTGACCAGGCTGGTCCCATCCATATTTAGATTTAAAACAGCAGCTGCAATTATAGGGCACCTACTGTGTGCTGGGAGGCATGCTGACGGCTTTGTCGAACAACAGTGACCATGCCCACGTATTGAGCACCTACTGTATGCAGAGGGCTTCATGGACCGCCAGCAATGGTGTCCGCATGCAGCGTGCCTGTTACGGCCTGGAGCCGCGCTAAGGGCCGCTGTGCCCACGGGCTGGGTGCCACGCTCAAGGCCTCTCTGCCTGTTGGACCTCACTTCATCCTCACGCTCCTCAGGCGGTCGGAGCAGCCACACCTCAGCCACGCCCCAGGTGGGGAGGCCAGAATCCCAGCCTGCCTGCCACGAGTGGCGTGGAGACCGCGGCCAGCCCGTCCTGGAAGCTCCGCAGAGGTCACCTCTCTGAATCCCTCCGGAAGCCCACAAGCGTGTCCTGTCTCACAGGTGAGCAAACAGAGCTCAGGAACAGCGAGCTGCCTGGCCAGGGGCACGTGGCAAGGGCGTGGCAGAGCCTGAAGTTTTGGTTTGAGTTGGAGTCTCACTCTGTCACCCAGGCTGGAGCGCGGCGGCACCATCACAGCTCACCGCAGCTTCAACCTGGGCTCAGGGGATCCTCCTGCCTCAGCCTCCCAAGCACTGGGACCACAGGTGTGCACCACTATGCCCGGCTACTTTTTTGGTTTTTCTGTAGAGACAGGGTTTGCTATGTTGCCCAGGCTGGTCTCGACCCGCCTCGGCTTCTCAACGTTCTGGGATGACAGGCGTGTGTCACCACGCCCAGCCACAGGATTTGAACCCAGACTTCACTTAGTCGTTTGCGGGCTGTCTCGACTTGAGGTGGGGAGTTCAGACCTCGGCCTGGGCCAGTGGGGACGGCTGCAGCCAACACTGCCACAGCTGCTCAGACTCCAGAATCAGCCTTGCGGGAGGGAAGCCGAGAGGCCACCGGCCCTGTCCGCTCGCCATCACAGGAGCCTCACTTGGCTTCTGAGTGTGCGTTTGTTAAGCACTTACTATGTGCACAGCCTGGTGCTGGGAGCTGGGACCTCAAGATGGGTCAGGGCCCCTGTCCTCAAGGGTGCCCGGCTGCCAGGGGCACCAGAGGCTGCCTCAATAGCTGGCTTCAACCAGAAGGACCCTTTGCCTCCACTGAGAGGGGAACGCCAGGGACCCCTCCTCCAAAACTGGTCGCAGGGCCCCTCCCCCGTTTCTTGACCAGCCGCACCCCAACCAAAAGTGCCCGGGTGGGGGTGGGGGTGGGGGCCAGGCAGGAGCGGACACACCACCAAGGAATGTGCCGCAAGGAATGGATTTGCTGAGAAAGGGGGAGAGGAAATAAAACCAAAACCATGATAAAATAAGCAACAACAGTGATGGGGATGGGGTGATGATGAGAAAAACCGCAACAAAAGAAAGAAAGGCGCCTTCCGGAAAAGTCCCCGCCTGGTTACCTACCGTCCACTCTTCCACTGCTAACTGACAAGACTTTCTTACGAGGGAGGGAGCGGCCAAGTTACAAGGCCAGGCCGCAGTCTCGGCGGGTCTCCGGACGCGAGCGGCCCCGGGCAGGCACGCGTGAGGAGGAGTCCGGGGAGACCCCCGGCTGAGCTGCCCGACTGCCACCTACCCTTGCGCCCAGCCCGGGGCGCCTGCAGCCCCCGGGAAACGCCTGGCCCTGAGTCTGTGCTGCCCCGTCCGGGGCCACGCGCATGCCCCCTGCCCCCGCGCACTGTCCTGGGTGGCCCCGAGGGTCACGTGGCTGGGTCGGAGACGCCTCCGCCCCCT